TCCTGCTCGGCGCCTGGGGGAGGATATTCGTGCAGCTGTGCGCCGCGCCTACTTCCATTCATGGCGATATTTCCGGCAACCCCCACCTCCGACCCGCCACCACCACCACTACCACAGCAGCAGCAGCAGCAGCAGCAGCTACCGCGCCCACGCCTGTGCTTGCCTGCATCTGAAGGCCACAATACGCATGTTGGGCACAAGCCTCCCTTTCGCATACACTAATTTTTGTCTTGCGTAGGGCGACATGTGTGCTCCAAAGTCAGCCTTGCGTCAATCGTCGTACTCCTCACTACACATGACCCGCTTACTCAGGATTGTCAATTACTCTGGCTTGGGCGCTGACGCCTTGCATGGCTGCTGTTTGCCTCGTATTTGCGCTCCACGCAGCCAACGCGGCAATGGTAACAGAGGAGAATGGTTTGACAGCTGCTCAGCCCGCTTGTGTGTTTGCGCTCCTTTTCTGCAGCCTATTCGGGGGCCTCAGCGCTCGGCCTGTTAATGAGCCTTTTGGTGAGACCTTTATAGCGCTCAGCCAAGCTCTCCCAAAGCCTTTATTATTATTTTGGCTGCCATGAATTGCCTTTTTCAGCGAGTATGAGTGATATCCAGTGCTGATGTCGCCGCCGCCTCCTCCCCTTGCGCGCCCTTGTCTGGCCATGTCGTCTTTTGGGCTAGCGCCCTGCTTTATTAGTCTTATATGTCGGCACAATAGCCGAGCAGCTTTGATCCGCAATAGTGCAGAGAGGAGCGCCCAAGAAATTGTTGATTTGGCTTGAGTTCCTTGCTGTTTGTTGGCCTCCGAGTTCCCCGCGTATCATTGCCTCAGCGTGCAACTGTGCTCTTCCAACAACAACACTCCTGACACATTGTGCATTGCGGCCCCTGGCGATACCAGCGCTGTACCATGTTCGCCTCCATGTCCGGTTTGCTAGTCGCAGTGGCAACACTGCTGGCTGGTCTATTTATATCGCCCGCGCCATCGCAGATTTGAATAAATAGAATCAAAATCAAAACAACAACAACAACAGCAACAGCAACTTTGACGCCAACATCAACAAGCAGCCCTTCGCACCTTCGTGCCATATGCAGTTATTTTGGCGATGCCAGATTCTGCCAGTGAGAGCCCTGATGAATACAGCTACATTGTCTGCCTTCGGATGCCACGCCCTTCTCTTTCTCTCGCTTGGGCTGCCTATGCCGAACCAAAATACAAAATATCCGCCATTGTTTTCTCTCCCCCCTAATCTACCAGATTTTGCCTCAAGAACACCTGTGCAAAGCCACCAAAGCAGCGGCCCTGGACAATCGTCCAGCTTTCACTGGCGTATCTCTAGTGTGCATAACTGCCGCCCTCGCCATTGTGCTCTGGCAAAAATAAAAAAAATAAAAAACAAAAAACTGGAAAGCGAGAAATAGTATCGCCAATCCGGCACCTTTGCGCCAGACTGGACACTTGTGACGACAGACGCGGTCATGTAGGGAGGGGGAGTATCAATCCTCTGCTAGTAACCTGCCCAAAGCGACTCATCAGCGCTCTTGGCATGATTGGCAGCAGGCATCTGCCAATCGTCCGCATTTCACGTGACATTCTGCATTGCTGACAAAAAAATCCTCCGTTTCTTGTCGCCAACATTCTCAAATTCCCTTCTTTCTCCGTCCTTCCGATTTCGATTGTTTTTTTTACTTTCATTTATTTTCATTTTCGCAGATCGAATTTCAGAACACGCACAATGCTTTCTAGAGCCCTACGCGCGCTTGGGCCTCGCACTGCCAGCAGCAGCCGACTGGTGGCTGCAGCTAGCGTGGCCTGTTCGCGCGGACTGTCTACCACCGCGCGCTTTGGCGCCGCAGCAACGGCAGAGGCGGTGACAAACCACAACAAGCCCACGGGCACTACCGAGCTCGATAAAAACACCATGCCCATCTACCTTGACGCGCAGGCTACCACTCCCCTCGACCCCCGAGTCCTCGACGCCATGATGCCCTATATGACAGAGAGCTACGGAAACCCGCACTCGCGCACACACAAGTACGGCTGGGAGACGGAGCAGGCTGTCGACAAGGCGCGAGAGCAGATTGCCGGCCTGATTGGCGCCCACCCAAAGGAGATTATCTTTACTTCGGGCGCTACCGAGGCAAACAACACGGCGATCAAGGGCGTTGCTCGGTTCTACAAGGGAAAGAAGAACCACATTATCACGGCGCAGACCGAGCACAAGTGCGTGCTGGACTCGTGCCGCGTGCTGCAAGAGGAGGGCTTTGAGGTCACCTACCTGCCCGTGAGCAAGGGCGGCCGCATCAGCCTAGACGACTTGAAGGAGGCCATGCGCCCGACTACAGCGCTGGTCTCGATTATGACAGTCAACAACGAGATCGGCGTGGTACAGGATATTGCAGAGATTGGCAGGATGTGCCGCGAGCGGCGCATATTCTTTCACACCGATGCGGCCCAGGCGGTTGGCAAGATCCCGCTTGACGTCAATGCCATGAACATTGATCTGATGAGCATCTCGGGCCACAAGCTCTATGGGCCCAAGGGAGTGGGCGCGCTATATGTGCGCCGTCGCCCGCGCGTTCGCCTGGAGCCCATCATTACGGGTGGCGGACAAGAGCGCGGTCTTCGCAGTGGCACCGTGCCGTCGCCGCTAGTGGTTGGCCTTGGTGCTGCCGCAGAGCTGGCTGCTCACGAGTTTGCGTATGACTATGCGCACGTCACAAAGCTGGCTCAGCGCTTGATTGATGGCATCCAGTCGCGCGTCACGCACGTCGTGCGCAATGGCGATCCGGCGCATATGTACCCTGGCTGCGTCAACCTGTCCTTCTCGTTTGTTGAGGGCGAGTCGTTGCTAATGGCGCTGAAGAACGTCGCGCTCTCGTCCGGGTCCGCGTGCACGTCAGCATCCCTTGAGCCATCGTATGTACTGCGGGCGCTGGGAGCCGAAGATGACATGGCGCACTCGTCAATTCGCTTTGGCCTGGGCCGGTTCACCACAGAATCCGAAGTTGACTATGTTGTGGACAATGTCGAGGCCCACGTCAATCGCCTGCGCGAGATGAGCCCCCTGTGGGAGATGTTCCAAGATGGCATCGACCTTAAGACGATCCAGTGGTCGCAGCACTAGGCAGGATTTATTTCTTTATAAAGTGGCATTACGCGAATAAGAACTATTGCGAGGCATAGGCCATCTTCCGGGCAGCTCTGCTGCTGTTGCTGGCATCTCGCTCTTGCTTGCACTTTGTGGTATCTACATGCTCTTCGATTAGTCGCTGCACGCGCTCAACTCGCGACTGCGAAGACCTTGCCCACACGTCTGCCCACTCGCTCAAGGCCTTTGCAGGCAAGGGCACGCTGTCTGCTCGCAACGCAATTAAGATGCAAGCAGCGGCCATGGCTTGTACTGGCTCTCGATCCACAAGTCCGGCAATTACAACGTTGTTGGCTATGAGCCAGGCAAGTCTGGCAACATTTTTGACTTGAGCATCTACTAGTTCAGTATCGTCTGGTGGTATGCCCCTTTTCTCCCACCACGCCATGCCATACAAGATTGACGCGATCCAGCTGTGCGGCAATTCGACGTTGAAATTAAAGCCAAGTATTCGAATAAGCACCAGCTCGGCCTGTGTCATAGTATTGCGCAACGCGTCCATTTGCTCATCAACTGGAAGAAAATCGCTGCTTGGGTGCGCCAGCTTGTACCCAACATTGATTATGTCTCGCTGCTTGCGTGGCTCCTCTGTTGTCTTTGCTGCCAGGAAAAGGCAAAGCAAAACACACATATGCGATGGAATTATGTCATTTCCTCGGTCAGGTAGCCTCTGACTAGAAATATAGTCACAGTACCGATGAAACAAAACCATGCCTGTGGCCCAGGTCGATGTAGGAAACAGCAGCATGCCAGCTGCACGCTTTGCATAGTCAATCTCGTCTGTTGTAGCTCGGCGCGCCATTAAGAGTAAATCGATATGTACTGCTCAAGTAAAATCAAATAAATCTGGGAAAATAAAAACCTCTGCATGATTTGATTTTGATTGAGTCGTTGTATTGGAGCCCTGTATGGGCACGAACTGAGGCAGCTGGCACCGAAATAAAAACCTCCACATATGCTACAGCTTTGCTAAGAGTGCTATCGTGTTTTGGTTGGCTACAATGGGTTGGTCAGGTTATTTGGTAGCAAGACATGCATATCCCCCAAAGTACTACAGACTCGCCTTTTTTATTTTTATTTTGCACAAAGAGGTTCTATTATTAAAAAAGAGATAACACGGCCAAACGTATAAAAGAAAGTATAGAGAGCACGTCATCCCTCAGGCTCTGAAATGGTCAGCAGATCGGAATCGCCTATATTATTTTGTACTCTTATAACTTTAGCCGTCAGGTGTTTACTAGAGTTGGTACTTTTCCAGATATTGTTGTTGCCAAGAACAACAGAGCCGAGTCCTCACTTGAGGCGCCTCTCGAGCCGAGCTGAGCCGAACCACTTGAGGCTGCCGGAATGCTCGGAATGTCAAGATTGGATGGATATTTGCCAGTGCACAGTGAGTGTCCAGTGACAGAGCAGGGTCATGCCGACCATGCTCAAGCAGTGCAGCTTGGGAATATGCCAGCATCACCCAAGGACGTCCACCACAGTAATGCAAATGCATGCAAGGAAGTTGTCTATTCCTCTTGCCGCGCTCAGATTGTTTCTATACCTGGCACTGAGCCAGCGACTACAGCGTACGCAGAATATGATGCTAGCACAGGACAGATGAGACAACTCCCTCATCACCATATAAATTTGGATGGCAACAGGCCGCCAAACAGAACTCCCCAGACAAGCCCCAGACAGATATAGTAGCCTTCTAGTAACCTTATTAACTCAATCGACATTTGCCTTTAACCTTTTTATCGCCTTATTGAATTATACTCTTGTAACTTTGTCCCCTCGGTGCGCACTAGCGTTGATACCTTGCCAGGTGTCAACAGTATCAACAGATGAGCAAATGGCTCAGAAAACGAGGGGGTTGTAACTCAGCTGGGAGAGTGCTAGCTTTGCATGCTAGAAGTCCAGGGTTCAAATCCCTGCTGCTCCATAATCTTTTTGTCTCCTTACTTTTTTAGCCAACTGCCTTTTCTTCATCGCTCCTTTTTTGCTCCACACTGTTTGTTAGCACTTTGGAAGGTCTCTAACACCGTCGCACCAGCGAGTTTAAAAAGGAAAAGCGAGATAATATAATAAACGCGTAAAATAAGGCAAAAGGCAGTAATCGATTGAGGCAGGACAATATCAGAAAAGGGCTATCTGTTGCTAAGGGGGCTACTACTTGGTCTTGGCCGTTTTAGCGGCTTACTACTGCCCAGCTTTATAGTCGGGCTGGTCTGCACATTTTGGCAGGTGTGCCCAGTGCTTGGGTCATATTCTTGGTAGATGACTTGTGTTGGCTTAGTGCCAAGTATTTGAGTAACATACGAGATGCCCGGGGATCGAGACCCCGTTACTCCAACGTTATTTTTTTTCCTTGGTCAACTATGTTATAACTGACACGAGCTTACATGGGCAGAGTTCTCAAAGAATACCGCTCACCTTTTGCTTTCTTCATCTTTTGCTTTATCTTCATCACTCCTTATTTTGCTCCGCACCGTTCAATACCAAAGTTTTTGCGGCACAATTAGCTACTTTACCCAGTCTAATCACTTAGCTACTTGCATTTCTAATACTCTTGCGAACATTCGCTTGCTGCTATTTTCTCAGTAATTAACTTATTTTAAAGCCATATTGTGAGCGTGTGTGCGTGTGCCCCATTCACACTCACACAAATAATAAACTCTGGGGAATTTAATTTTGGAGCAACACCCCCGCACCAAAAATAAATTCTCTTTGGAAATTGTTACCTGCTACTGCTCCAGCCCGCTACCTCCATTTGCAAAAAGTTGTATGCCATCCAAGAAAAAAATGTTTGCGAGTCTGCCTTGCACAAAGGCCGCACCTGAGGAAAGCAAGCAAATAATGCCTCGTTGGATTTGCGCCTTGGGAAATGCATCTGAAACACCAGAGAACTTGTCGCCTGGTGGACCAAAAAAGGACCAAATGCACAACTGCCTCATTCTGGGAGGAGACATATAAAGGCTACCAACACCAGCATTATCGCTTTATTTTTTTGTTGCAAAAAACCTCACCTTCCATATAATTCTCAAG